GTGGTGCAGTTGTTGGTTTTCAACCATATAGATCACGTTTCTTTATCTTGATGCAAAAATGCAGCTCGTCAAGATGTCACAGAGCAAGGGTGGGACCAGAATAATCATATGGAGACAAATTCTCACAATTACTTATTGGCATATATATATTAATTTTTTTCCTGTTCAGATTAAATAATTGGAACCTTCTATTATGGGAAAAACACCAGAAGTAAAAAAGAAAACAGAACAGAAAAACAGCTCAACTCTGGAATATTAGATTATAAAATAATCATAATTTAACCCACATGTGGATTTTATGGACAAATAACTTGGAGATGGTGTTTTCAAAAACCGAAAAATCTCCATATGAGGGAGTGAAGATAAATGTTTATGAGATAGTGAAAATGTGATCATTTTAATGCAGAAAAGAATGATACGAGGATGAGGTTTAATTCTAGATGATATTTCAGATGATATTTCAGAGTTGAAATTGCTCGTTGTAAAAAACAGGTAAATAAGATCGTGCGTCCTCTCTGTATTTACATGATTATCTAGGCTTTTATCAGATATTAGACTGGACCTGATTAGCTGATTTCTCTCTGAATGGGTTTCTTCTATAAGGCACACAGCTGAAATTAAACTTTGGACATGCCCTTCACATACTGACACATCTGCAGTTATTTCACATGAGCTGCAGTGTTTTTTTTAACTTTATCCAAACTGTTTTAACTGTTGTAAGAGCTCCAACTTTAAAATGTTGCATACATTTTTGAACAGTTGCAATAACCTTTATAACATTTTTCAATCTTGGCCCACTCTCCTTGTTTTCTTTACGCGTGCACGTCGCACAAAACCTGAAACATTGGCCCCTGGTGCAGGTTTTGAGTTGTATATTCTCATGCTCGGTGGACACAGGCTCTCGGGCCAGTGTAGCTCGGTGTGTGTAGCTGCTCTCTGGCTGTGTAAAACCTCAGTGCCTCAGTAAATGAGCTGTCTGATGAGCGGCTCTCGGGTTTCTCTAATATCTCTACCACATTGCGCCGCGCCTCCTCCTTTAACCCGAGCAGCCCGGGGGGCGACAGATTATTTCAAGATGTGGACTCTCCTCCTCCACCGCGGCCAGCGCTGCACGGCCTCCTCGTATATATACACCCCGACAAGTAATGCAATACATAGGTAGAGCTATCACTCGTTACAGCCTCTTTTTTTCTCTCCTCCTCCTCTTCATCCAAAACCTGGCTCCTGGCGTCACCCTCAGAAACCACAGGCGCTCCTCTCCTGTAGGTGCACGGCTGCTAAATATGCTGCATGTTCCGGGTTTTAGTCAAACATTTTCCGCATAAATCTCACATGAGTCAGAATAAAAAAAAAACAGCCAGCCCATTTCTCGTGAGACTAGTTTAAAGTTAGGTGAAGGCCCGTGCGTAATGGAGGAGCGTGGGCCTGCGTGCGCTTATTGAATTGTTCCACTTGCACAAAGCTATAAAAACAAGTCCTTTAATCACCACGCTGACAGTAGCAGTGTCACCACATTACTTTTAAATTGCGACACAAAAAAACATTAAAATAAACAGTGCGAGAGAGTGAGAGGGAGAAAAAGTGATCACGTCAAAACACCAGAGGACACTTCATAAAAATGTCATCATCAGAAACGCTCTGTTTCCCATTGGAGGGTTTTATTTTTCTGAAAATATGGAGGAAAATTGAAACGATCCACTGGCTCAGTGAGCAGATGGTTTTCTTTGTGTCTAAATCCAAAAGTGCTATTTCAGCTGTATCGACTGGAACGAAGCCGATAGTGTTTAAATCAAGTGAGAAATGTTCAATTTAGTCTCCAGGCGGAGCGTTTTTGTTTTTTCAGTGGCACCTCACTAAAAAATATTTTAAAAAACACAACTTATTTATCTATGTAAAACAATATTGACATTCCTGTGCATCCATCAGATTAGTATTCAAAACATTTCTATATTTTCGTTTAGACCTATAAAATTATGTAAATTACTGCAATTGGCTTTTTAAAACATTTATCCACAAATGAATTACTGTAATAAATAGTTTGTCATTAGTTTTGGTCACTTCAAGATGTCCTAAATGTGTCTTTGATTAAGAGTTGAAGTGTTTTATTTAAGTGAAAGGCAGTGTGAGGGGGAAAAAGCTGCTCCTTCCCTCAAAACAAAACACAACTGTTGACATGAGTGAGTTAAATGAAATTGGAGCTGCAATTATCAGCTTAACAGAGTTTCCTGTCATGTTGGAAAATTAGACCTGGTACAAGTGCACCGGGGTTACCCCTCCACCCAACCTCCATCCACCCACTCCCCCAGTACAATCATTACGCATTTCCTCTGAGGACCACCGGCTCTTTTACAGTCAGGCGTCCTCATGAACCCCCTTTTTTAAGGAAGTTGTTGTTGTTTGTGTTATTGTAATTATTTGGCTGCAGGGCAGGAACCAGTAAACAAACCAGGAGCCGGCAGACAAACACATCAACAAACAAAGGAGCGATTTAAAACGTGATGCGCAGCAGCTGCACAATGTGTGTGTGTGCCGGCAGGGAGGGGGCGCCATCGCAGTGCGATCATGCACGTCCAAAATGTAACTACTACAGGGACGGGGTCAGTTTGTTATTTGTGTTTTTGCAAATGAAGTTTTAGCAGCCGTGAAGTCGAGGAGCAGGTGTGTGTGTGTGTGTGTGTGTGTGTGTGTGTGTGTCCATGATCTTCATCACTGGTCACTGGTCATGTCAGGCCTCCTCCTCTCTGCTCCTGTTACAAAGTGGAGTTTTTTCTCTTTGGGGAATATCATTGTGGCCATGATGCTGCCTCACAGCTGCTGCCACTGTGTGTGTGAGCGTGTGTGTGCGAGCCTGTACTTGTGTGTGAGACAGAGACAGGGTCTTATTAAAATGCCTCATGATCTAAGCTTGATGGACAATTTGACAAACATCAGGATTAATAAAGTCAGTATAAATTGGGTACATTTGAGAGTTTTTAAGCCTTCACATACTCATACATTTTATTTATTCCTTAGATTAACACTTGTTTGATGTTTCTTCTTCTCTCTTAATTGTTCCTCTTTGTGAGGACCATGCTGTAGACTTTATGAAGTGGGGACATTTTGGGAAACCAGGTTTAGGTTCGGGTTAGGCATTAAGTTGTGATGGTTAAGGTTAGGGTTTGGGAATACATGAGTGCATGTGTCCTCACTTAGAAAGAAGTACAAGGTTGTGTGTGTGTGCACGTGCATGTTAGTGTTTATGTGTTTATGCATCATACTCACAAACAACTTCAGATCATCCTCATGACTTATGTCCTGTCGCTGCAGTCCAGAACAAACCGGTGAATCATGCCGGTTGCATCTTCTTCTTACCACACAGAATGATGGAGCAGACATGTGCACATACCTTCTACTCTGCCAAGCAACAAACGAGGAGGTTAAAAAAAAACTCTACGAGGATTGAGGACTTGTATTTCCCGTCTATATGATTCATAAACACCACCTACTCTGTTTCCACAGCCTGGTTTCAAGAGTAGAATGTGTGTCAGACAGGGAACTTACTTGGTCAGTAGTGGTGGGTCTGTACCATCAGGCCGGTACCCACTGACCCCTGCCCTCTCATTAGTGGGACGTGGAGCAGTGGAGTACCGTTCTCCCCAGGTCATGTTACATATGGCTTGCAGTCTGCTGCGCAGCATTAAATGTCAGCTTTGAAACCATCTGAAAGATCAGAGGTCAGTGTTTTTAATAAGGCCACAGTTCTGGGGGAGTTCCCTCTTTTTTTACTGCGCACCCAAGTATGTTTTATGCTGCAAGATTCAAATTGTGGGAAAAATGAGATTCATTGATATTTGGATATTGTCATGTTTTAATTTTTGCACATAAAAAAAGCTGTAAAATATAGAAAACCAGCAATAACCTGTGTGCAGTCTCTGTGAAAAACACATTTTCTGTGAGTGCTCCTTTCCTGTCTAATTTATGGACACAATACAAAGGTGGAATTTTCTGTGGCCCCCTCCCCGTGAGACCCATGGGCCATGGGCTCCTGCTGCGAATGGGATATTGTTCTGGGCTCCAACAAAGCTGTTTTCACCCTCTTCAATATTACAGGAGGAGTCACCTGATACCTAACAATCAGCTAATCCACTGCCCATGGCGACGAGGTCACCTGTGCACAGGTAACTTTATCCCCCTCGCCTGCCTCTCCCTCTATTTCCCGCTATAGTCTCTCCCATTTCCCCTCCTCCCTCTCCCTTTGCCTCCACAGTGAGCACAGACAAACAGCCTCTGTTTATTTAGGTCATCAGTTAGATCATATATATCTCCTCCAGCCAGGATCCGCTGAGAGGACAACTCCTATAATCCACCGCAGACACGGCTGTGAGTAAAATAAAATCCCCCTGCTGTCCGTCCATTTGTCAAACCTTGTCTCCATCTTATCTCCCCTCGCTGGTTTGGTCGGATGCCCGCTGAGTGAATGAGTCCATGGGTGGAAACTCATGAATTCACAGAGAATCCCCTCAAGCCACGAGAGGGGTCCAGGCTCTTTTTTTTTTTCTGGATAGAGACCCAGTGTCTGTGACTGACAGCATCTCACATTCATTCTTCCACATGTTAAAGGGGTGGGGGGTTGTTCATCCTTCACTCAGGGAAACACTGAGTTGTGGGGAGCTGCAGGACCCCCCCCACCCCCCACCCAAAAAGAGCTTTACCTCTGGAAATCTCATTGCTGTTTATTTGAATTACAGGGGCTGAGATGAGAAAAGGAGGGCTAATGAACTCCAGGTTGCCAGGCATGTGCAAACGATCACCGCAGGTTTGCAGAGAGCAGCACCAGGCCTGCTGGATTACTGCATGCACCCCCACCCCCTGCCCACCCCCCAAAATCCGGAGTTGGGGTCTTAAATGTTCGAAATACATTTTTTGTGTCTGTAACTTTCTCTGATTTTCAAAAATCTTAAAAAGAACTTCAGAGATCTTAATTTTATGATTTAGAAATTTCATAGAAAGAATACAATGTTTTTATGTTTTTATAAATATAAACTTTTATTGTAGTACAGAGATTTAGAAAAATACATTCACATAATTTCAGATGACAAACGTATCATTCAAACTAAGATAAAAAACAACAACAAAACAAAACAAAATGACCATCAGTTTAATATTTGCCCACAACTCATTTTTTGGTATATTACATTAAAGCACTGAGGATACTTTCACTGAAATGTCCATTCAAATTGATGGGATCGTGTCACAAATTAAGTGTTCATCAGTCCTTTAGTATGAAAACACGTGATGCACCGCTACATGTGCACTTTATGACTTGGCTGCGACGCTGAAATGTGCTATTAGGGTCATGTATGACAGCGAGGAATTAGGCTCCTGTTGCGAAAAGCACCGGACACACTTGACAAATGGGTTCGACATTCTCTGCCCTCTCTTCCCTCATCTGACACCCAATGAGTGCGCCTGCGATGGTGGTAAATCTCTGAGGCTACAACGCAGGATCAACGACTGAGCTTACTTTTAGTTTTATTATTCACAAAACAAAAAGTAAAAGGCACTATAGTGTCCAAAACATTATGACGCCATGCAAAGAGAAATTATCACAATCCCTCTCCGGGTTTAAAAGTGGGACTATAAAAGAAACACAAACGGTTTTGTCCTCTTCTAGCTTCTGTACCTTTGTTCATTAAAAGCATACACTCTGTAGATGTCTGGCTTCATAGAAAAATACCATTCATGATTACTGACTGCTTTGGAGAGACACATCAAAATGAAACACGATATAGTATAGCATCATCACATCTAGTTAACATATTATGAGTTGCAGCATTATAAACAACATATGATGGGCAACATGTGAACCGACACCGTGACCTTTCCATCATCGTTAAGATCTTTGTCTAACAGGTTGAAGATGAGGCTAGAAATCGGAGTCGTTGCTGTACTTGTGCATTTGTTGTTGTCGCCACATGACAAACCCTCCGACTTGAAGGTTGTTAGAAACGTGCACGTTGTAATGTCACTATGGTAGTGCAAACGCCAAAACAGACCAATGACATTATGTGTTTTTAAGTAGCAGAAAGGCACATTTGTCTCAACTCTTGTCCCGTACTCAACACTCTGAGTTCATTTGGTAAAATATAAAGCACAACTTCAGGGTTTGCAGCGACTTGAGAGGCAATCAGAGAATTTAAGGTGCTCACTGAAGGACACTTTCTCCTAAATCAGCAGCTTTCTGTCTCTAATAACCTATTATTCTGTGTGTGTGTGCGTGTGTGTGTGTGTGCAGTCCTTCAGTAAAAGCGGTCGCTCTTCAGCTGATCATTTTCACAGAGGCTCTCTCCCTCTTCCCCCGGCCGAATGACCTTTTTGGTTTGAGCCGGATGACGCATTTAGTTTGGAGGAACATCCTGGTCATGTGACTCAAGGCATTCCAGCACCTGCTCCGGCGGATCACATCCACTCAACAGGAAGTAGCAGGTGTTGTCTATAAAAATGCACATTTAAAACACGGCTCACACACACACACACAGAGCGGCTTCTTGTGTTTGCACAAACAGCCATAATGTTTCTTCTTCCTAACAGGGCTTATAAAATGTGTCATAGACTTTTCTTTTTTTTGTGATAAACTGACAGTGCCCACCCACAGGGCGTCCCCTCTGACTGTAGAGTGCATTGTAAAAGTCAAATGAACACAAATAATTTAACATTTAAAGAAATGAAGAGTAAAAAAAAAAACACACTCTCACACAAAGGTAAAAAGATTCACCATATCTCTGCTTGGGGGGACACGAGTGCTTCTGCGGGGAGATTGATTTGAGGTTAAAGGTCGGCCATGTCCTCGTCCATCTGCACTGTCTGTAGTTTGGCCAGCTCCTTCCCCTCCACAGCCTCCATCTCCCCGCACATCGCCCGCACCATCTCATTCATGCCTCCCGACCCGTCCACCTTGTTTCCCGACAGGTTCATGTAGTTGCTGTTCATGCCGGGGCCTATTAGGTGCGAGGGTGTAGGCCCCCGGATCTCGTGGGCCCCTAGGTACTCTGTGGGCTGGAGGTGGTGGCTTCCTGTGTCCGTTTGGGCCATCAGGGGTGTGCTGATGGTGAGGGTGGTGTAGACCTCTGGTTCGGGGCTGGACGAGGTGACAGCAGGGACGTCGTTGGTTTGGGTGGGACCCTGGCTGGACGGGGCCTCTTCAGAGTTGTGGGTGGTGTAGCTGATCTGACCGCTGGGGTCCAAGTGAAGCCCATGGTGGTAGGAGGAATAGACACCTCCCTCCAAAGGCTCCTTCTTGATGGACGTCTGGCCGGTGTTGCTCATGCTGTAGAGGACGGTGCTGTGGTGCAGGGACGACATGGTCATCTTGTCCTGCTGCTGGAACGAGTCGTCGCTGGAGGAACTCACTGCTACGTTGTCCAGAGGTATGGTTCCTAATGAAATGACAGAACAATATATATGATACAGTATCTCCACCTCCAGTTTAGATCCTAGTCCCACTGCTGGATCCTCTTCTCTCACAGCATCATATGATTAATGAAGAACAGACCTTGGCTTTAAAAATTGCTGTTGTGTGTCTCACACACTTTGTGCTCTTTAAGCTTGACCCCACAGTGCCCCAGAGGACGATTGCAAACGCCTGCCAGCACTAAACAGCGAGCTGAAGTTTTCAGTTTGTCCTTATAATTCATCCTGCTGTAGATGCTCTGCTTTCTGTCAGTACAAGTGCTGTAATGGCTTATTCCCCGTTCGTGCATTTCATGGCCTCTGATTGTCTGAAACATATTTTCCCACCTCCCTGCTCTGCACATCAAGAGTGCAGTGATGATGAGTGATGGTGACTTCAGAACTTGTTTTTATTCATCTCTGGGGCTTTCAAAGGACCACCTCATGCACATATGTGTGTGTGTGTGTGTGTGTGTGTGTGTGGGGCCCTTCCCTGTTTCTTCTGGTCTGTGTTATGTTGTAGTATCGGCCCTTTGGGCTACGGCCCAAACACAGACAAGCCAAGAATAAATCAGCTTGGATATATTGGGTGGATGTAGTAGAGATTTGTTGACAAACCACCGGGAAGTGCAGAGTTGCACTGGAACATTCGAGGAGGGCAGAGCGACCTGCAGTAAAACTGGGAGATATAAGGCTGATATATCTATTTTATGTTATAATGTTAGCCTCCTTTTGACTTTATCTGGATTTATCTCATCCTAATAATGTGGTATGATCATATTTTAGTCTTTTCTTGGTCTTAAAGGCTGAATTGATGTAACTGCATTACTTAAGTTTGTTGTATTTACCTGACAGATTAAATTAGCCATAATGTACTTTATTAGACATCTCTCCCACTCCTTCATAAGAAGTATCAGTCATTGTGCAAAATACTCCAATATTTGATTGTGTATCATTGTTGCTCCTCTTTACCTCCATTTTCTCAAGTAAACATGGCATCAAAAGTTAAACTAGTATGCAAGCTGTCAAACTGAATCAGTTTTCCATCATATAACTTCCTGTACCCACCTTGTTGTGGGATTGTTGAGGCCGAGGAGGCTGAGGAGAGCTGCAGGGGAGAAAGACCCACATCACTGTTGAGTAATGAGCTGCCATCACTGTCAGACACTCCGCTCGGTACGTGCACCAGACTGTAGCCGCCCAGCTGCAGCGCACCTGACGAGGAGCTGAACGTCAGCACGGAGGAACCCCCGTTCTGGGCGGCCATGGAGTGAGCCCCCTCCAGCTTCACCTCGGCTCCATTCACACAGCCGGTGTAGGATGCGTACTGCAGGCTGGAGTCCTCAGCAGAACTGCCCAGTCCCTTCTCCTGCCCTGTGTGCATCTGCATGTCCACCCCAGAGCTCCCCAGCAACACCCCTCCTGACGGCCTCAGAGGGTTGAAGGCCAGGGGCTGGATGCCCAAGTTGAGCCCGTTGAAGAGGATGTTTCCAGGTGTGTGGAGGTAAGACGAGCCGCCATTGTGAAAGACGGCAGATGAGGTGTTACTGGTCACTAGACTCCCATTGTAGAGGCCACCACTGCTGGATCCGGGCATCTTGATGTCCCCGATTTGCTGGATGACCACCCCACCGTCCAGATGCCCCGTTTGAATCCCATGGGGGATGACCCCATCTGAGGAGTTGGAGAGGGGTCGGGGTGACATATCATCCTGGCCTTTACTAGACTCATCCTCTGTGCTGTGGTTTCCATCAGATTCACTGGGAAAAAAGATGACATTTGATGTTACACTAAAGTATTGTTATAAGTTGACTTGGAGCCAAAATGGAATACGATTGGAGTATGTGCAAGTTAAAAAGCATATGAATACCATATAATAGTTTTTATTCTAAAATCTATAAGTATATAAGTATATATATATAAGTATGAGTATAAACTTGGATAATGGTGTTTATTCCCTTTCCAGCCACATTTTAGCCGCAGAGCAGACAGTCACATTTGTTGCAGTGTTGTTACACAGCTTTGAAGAGCAGGCCCTTGTGTTTGTGAGTGTGGAGCCCCTCTCTTACCTCATGGAGAGCTGCACTGACAACAACCGACCAACATCAACAACTGTGCAACCATTTGGCGCAGTAAATCCTGGTGTGACAAAATGCCAGCGCCAGTGGCATGAAAGAACAAATGGCTGTAAGGGTTTACTTGTTGTTCCCCTTCAATTTTAAAATGTGAAATTTAAACCCTTATATATTTTTTAAGTTTCTCAAGAAGCCACAGTTTAAAAAAACTAAACAATATGGAAGTAGCTGTTGTATTTTGTTTACTAGCCCCCTTTTAAAAGACGGATTAAAACAGCTGCACCCTCCCTCCTCCTCCTTGCCCCACACACACACACACACACACACACACACACACACACACACACACACAGACACACACACAGACACACACACACACACACACACACACACTCTCTGACAGAACCTCCCCCAACTTCCATGAAAAGATATAAAGCAAGACTAGTTACTGCAAGTGAGACGATTAAGTTGTTCACAATATCCACAGGTTGTGTGTGAGAGAGAGTGTGTGCGTACGTGTGTATGTATGTGTGTGTGTGTGAGAGTGAGTGAGAGAGAGAGAGAGAGAGAGAGTGTGTGTGAGTGAGAGACAGAGACAGACAGAGGGGTCACCTCCACCAGGTGCGTCAGCTTTGTTCACACAGAGGTGAAAACATGAAAGAAGGTGAAATTCAGTGTGTTTGTGTTGAAGATTATAAAATGAAACGCAGAAGCTGCTGGAACCTCTGGGTGGGATCCTTTATGTTCTGAGAGAGAGCGAGGGAACAATGTGATTATTGAAAAGATTTATGTTGGGCTGAGGGGACACGTGCACGCGTGTGTGTGTGTGTGTGTGTGTGTGTGTTCCCACATATTAATGGGAATATTAAAGCTTTTTGAGTTGTTTCTTTAGTTAAAGCAGTGGAGCGTGTGAGGTGAGGTTGCTGGTTTATTTAGTTGCTTATGGTTTCCATGAACCAACACACTTGAAACCGGATCTGAAAGGCAACAGCTTCATATTTCAAAACATTATAAACGTGCTCCAACTCCTTTTACGCACTATTTGTGTTACTTAATTTTAAACACTTGATATTTCTCAAAGTGTTATGAGTGAGTCCAATTGGAGGTTTATGAAATACACTGAGCACTGAATGAAGTGTGAATGGTTTTAACCTATAAACGTCCTTCCATGTGAGAGAAAAAAGCTTTCAAATGCTGTGTTAAAATTAGCCTGGGTGTAGTTTAACTCTCCTATTACGCACGGAGCACTCGAATTATTTTTTAATATTTTGATTAATATAAAGTGTGGAAATGAAATAGTGTTGTTCCTTTTTTCTCGCCTCACCTCTTGGACTGTGCCTCGGACGGGTTTCTGTCTCTCTGCCTTCTGTTTTTGAACCAGTTGCTGACCTGGGTCAAGGAGAGTCCTGTGATCTTGGCGAGGTTTCGCTTCTCGGCAGGAGAGGGGTACCTATTCTGAGTGTACAGATCCTTCAGCGCGTTCCGAGACCTCTCCTTGAAACAATACACCGTCTCCTCGCCGTCCCAGATAGTCCTGGGGAGAGGGTACTTTCTCCGGATCCGGTACTTGTCCACGGCGCCAAGGGGTCTCCCCCGCGACTTCTCCGCCTCGGTGTACCGGGCCTTGTACCACAGTTCCTGCAGAAAGGTGTGGTTGGACGCGCTGAAGCTGTGGTTCTCCAGGATACTGTACAGCTCCTGGTACCGCGCCTGGTGGAAAGCGACGAGCGCTTGCGCCTTCAAGATGCTTTCGTTGCCGCGGAGCAGGTCGCTCTGTGGCAGGGACCACAGGAACCTGGCCAGCCGGTCCACATTGCCTCCCTGCTGCAGAGCCTCGCACACACACGCCACTTGCTCCGGGGAGAAAGCCAGGGAGGACGCGGCGCTCACCAGCAGCTCCGTGCGCACCGCGTCAGCGTTGGGAGCCGTGCGCTCCATGGACAACTCCGCCGCGTCCAGCGCCACAAACTTGATGCACTCCCGCTCATCCAGCTCCTTCACATTTTCCCTCTTGATGTCATTCGCTGTTGTGACTTCTCCGGCAGAAGAAGACATTTTTTTCCTGTTCAAGCCTTCCCTGGTAAAGTCACTCCTCCCAGCTCGATCAGGTTACCTCCTCGCCATGCGAATGCGATCGGATATCTGACAGCAGCTGTAAGTAGATACCTCTCTCCTCTTTTCCTCCCAACGTGACTTTTACTCTGCGGGGACTGGAGCTGGAAGGAGACACACTGGGGTCTATCTGCTGGAGAGCCACGCCATTGGCCGCCGATGGAGCCACAAGGGAGGAGCAAGCCGATTCAGACGCGAATGTTTAGTTTCCAGCTGTCACTCATGTGACTTCCAGTATGTTCCCGCAGCTCACCTGTGCAAGGTGAGTGCGTTTTTGGGATCGTGGGAACGGGATATCCTTGTTGTCTGTGTGGGCAGGAGCTGCCTTTGCTGAACGCAGGAAAAACTGAAAAACCACCAGAGCTATTTATATTCCCTTAACAAAATCCAAGGGAGCAATAATGTTAGAATATGTTCACCTCATTATCTAAATCTAATATGGTTCAAAACTTTTAATAAAAGTTGAAGCTGGATTAATCGAATAAAGTACAATTGTTCAATGCCAACACCACTTGGTTACCTGTTCTATCTTATTCTATTTCTTATTTCCAAAAGTATTTTAAGGTTTTATAATTCTTGCAGTACACTTTCAAATCAGTATGTAATAAAACAAAACATATCACGACCCCAATAATCAATAGCCAATACATAAAACCCAAAATATTTAGTAACAGCTGCAGAAACCCACTTTCAGACCATCTCATGAATATCTGTGCTGTGATATTTCTGTGTCCTGAACTTGAACAGTTGCCATTCACTCATATACCCTCAAATGTAACCATTTTACCATATTACGATATGATATTTGTTAAATAGTAGCTGACATCAAATGTCATAGTTTTGCCTATAACACCTTTAATTTCTGATTAATGCACATGGTCACAAACTTGGAAAACATATATTTAATTTATTTGCTTGTTTTTGCAATTAATTTAAGATCTCATGAATTCTAACAATGGGAACAATACCATTGTCTTACACTGACTTTCATACATCCTCAATAAATCAATAGGCCTGTAACACACAGGCTTTTAGTAAAGGTAATGTCTGCATTTGCTTTCTGAGCTATAGTTTTTTTAAATTCATTTTCCATAAATTCAACCAACCTTCCTTAAAGTTAATGTTATTATTCTATCACAGTAAATACTATAATTGACATTGTATCATTAAAGATCATAAATCTCATAACATATCCATCATCCTCTCTGAATGATTTCCCACAGACATGTATACATTCAATCTATATGATGTCATAAGCCCCGGAGAATCACATCTGGGCAGATGATTGGTTTTTGTTATGGTTCAGCTCAGACTTTATGGTATTTACATTAGATCATGGAATATGTGGGACATGGAGTTACACAGTGAAACACGTGATAGAAAAAATATTTTATACAACCACTTTAAATGCAAAAGTAAACAACTCAGCTTTTTACCTCAGACCCCCTGGGGCCCCTCAGGGACCCCACGTTGTGCCTCCATGTGTGACCACCGCTTCGGTAAAGGTCACCATCAACTAGGAACTACTGTTATAAGCGGAGTTTGCCAGTCGGACCTGATTGAGTGTGGCGCAGTGAAGTGACAGCAGAGGAGCTGCTCCGTGTTGACGTTTTTCTGCAGCTTGTTATTTTGTGTTGCTCCGTCAGAAATGGACGACCAGGGCTGTCCCAGGTGTAAAACCACCAAATACAGGAACCCGTCTCTGAAGCTGATGGTGAACGTGTGCGGACACACACTGTGAGTATCTGACAAACACAACACACACAGACAAGCTAATGGACCCACAACACAACACAACACGAAGGCGTGCTGCAGCTTCAAACTGAACTTCACACACACACACACACACACTAAAGGACACAACACAGGCGGTGATTTTGAAAGCACTTCCATTTTGTCTGAACGTTAAAATAGGGTTTAAACACACACACACTAGCTGTTAAGCTAACAGCTAATAGCCTCTTGTCAGTGTTTTCCTTTCAAATATAATCACACCTACTAACACACTATCAAACAGGCGGTTAAGTTTAATTTTAAAATTGTTTACATCTTCTCTAAAGTCTGAACGGTCGTTAAAGAGGTTAAAACACTCACACACTAGCTCTTAAGCTAACAGCTAATAGCTTCTTGTTGTCAAGTGTTTTCCTGTCAAATATAAACACTGATGCTTACGTAGAAAATATATAAATGTGATACTGTGAGCTATGAAACTTGCAGGAATATACTACAGATTTAACGGGTGAGTGTGTTTAAATTTGGTTTCTTCCTCTGTCACATCCCTCAGTTCTGTATGACAACTGTCAAACCTCCAGGACAGTGTGTCAGACAAGGAGACAAATATCAAGATAAGAATGTTCATATCAGTAAATGTTGATAATCATCACGACATGTCACAGTATTGTTTCTCTGAAGTTTGTTCTGTCTCTTCAGTGAATGAAGGTCGTGGTTACAAGTAATTCAAAACATTTTACAAATCTGAGGTATTTGTATATTTGGCCTCACAACTATACTTACACAATACATAAGCATTTCATCAATATCCATTGGACTTTAGTTATATTGCAATAATTAAAATTCTAAATCGATAGTTATTGATATTGTTATATTGCCCTGTGCTAGACTGCACAATAACACCACACTGATTGTTGTATACATCTGACATGCTGTGTCCATCCAAACTTCTCTGTAAGCACTGGTAGAAGATGTCTTAAAGCACATGCTGGTGCTTTCACTAGACCACTGAGGTGTACGGTTCTAGGAGATATGATGGCAAACATCCAGGATGTCAGGGAAAAGAGAATGGTTGCACTTTTTTTTTGCCTATTTGAAAATATGCTCTAGTCGATGGGGTGCAGGAAACAGGGTTGAGAGAATTGGGGAAGATTTGCAGCAAAGGAGCGAAACTAAACCTGGGGCTGCTGCAGGAGGGCTCAAGCCTCTGTACACAGGGCACCCTATGTTACCACAGTTTTAAGCAGAGACAAAAATAACAGCCATACCATATCCTAACTGGATCCAAACCACCCAAAATGTATCCTAATTGTGACCATTTTCATTTTTATACCCAAACTCAAGGCTGATTCCGGATCATAGCCATTAAACCCCTGTGGTAGGTCTGGTTTCAGTACAACATTTGTACCTAAAGCCCTGGTGGGATTCATAAATAAAATAGAAACAATAAACTGCTAAATTAATCCAGGAATTTTTTCTCACTTTCTTTAACATTGCAAGATAAGGAATTTAAAAAAAATCAGGCATGTTTCGGGACCAATTTCTATGAGTGTGTGAAATCTGTCTGAAAAGTCTGAAGTTTAAAAAATAAAATAAGTTTAAGAACTAATCTCTCATCACATGTGGAATAATTCAGTTTTTTATTGACTTGAGTTCTTACTCAACTCATCGCTCTGGCACTAGATCTCGCTAATCCTAGTGTTTTGATTCTGCGTCACCGTCGTGCCAGTACTGGGTAAAACTTGTTTGCTGAGCATTTTCCAGTGTTTAACCTTGCCATGTGTTTGAAAACCTGATCGTTTAAATGAAGGGGACGTGTTCTCGTGCGGTGACGGTGGTGGCCTGATGAGAGCATCTTTTCGACCCTGTCTGTTTATTGACCGAACCATCAGGAAGCAGCCGTGCTTTGTCATCAGGTCAGCGAGCTCATAACTCACAGCCTCTGTCTGGATGCAGGGCTACACATAGAAAATTAAAATGATTCTGCAATGAAGCAATTTGGAGAGATGTCCTAGCTCAGGTCACCTTGGAGCTGGTGTGGCGGTGAATTTATGCACCACTTGGAAAATGCTGTACTCTCAAACTGTATTAGTATTTTCGTCACTGATGTCATCTTGCTTTTTGTTTACACTTTGGCTTACTGAAGAGTTGATGGATCTACAGGCCTGTACTTTATCTTGAGTTGTGTGATTCAGTTTCAGTGACTGAGTTCTCATTTGGATTCAACAAGTCCATGTAGAATAAGAAGAAAATATAAATAACCTTCCCCCATTTAAATCCTCTAGTTTCAGATTTTTACTTGGATCTGCACCACATTTCACACACTTACTCACGATATTTGGCAACATCCATGCATTATTTCCTGGCAAATGGGTGAGAATGGCAAAAAAGCCCTATCTCACAGTGTAAATTAAAGTGAAAGAAATTCCTTGATCTCTTGCTTTGTCTGGATCCGCACAAAAGTGAATCAGAATAGTTTAGTCCTTAGACTGAAACAATGTCCTCTAAGATCCTGAGGGTATTTTGTCATCATTCCCATTGCCAAGTATGATATTTGACCTTTTAACCATCTGGGATGATGAACTCCTCTCAAACCATCAACTTATTTGTTGATGTTATACTTATATTTGAAATTATTCATTTATTCATGGGTTTGTGAGTCCACAGAAAATCAATCAACAATGTTTTAGATTTAGATTTACAGAGATAACCTTTGAGGTTTTGATCTGAAGTTTTCTTTATTCTCTTACATTTTTATTATGGAATTAATGATTAATGGTTTTATTGAAAATAAATATGTGGCTGCAAACGTAGTTGGACCCTCTGCACTGCTTCATCCATTTATAAAAGAGCTAAACTCTCTAGTGTCTTCTTGGTCTGACCGGATGGCCATTCCAGTCTTGGTTGAGCAGCCTTGGATGATGCACTGCAGTATTGGGCTTCTCCAACGTGAGCATGTATCTAAATATAAATCCCACCACAGCACATTTTGTATCCCTGTCACTGGGGGCGTTTGATGTGTGTTATTTATTACTTTTTGCACAATGACACCGGGTCCATTTCCCTTTGGCATTTGGCACTGGGCACACAGGCAGGCACTAGCAATGTATGAGGGGGGGGGGGCATTTTGGGGTCTACAGACCCGACACACCTCATTAAGTAGAAACTAGTTTGTTTGTTCTAGTTTAATAAAGTAAGAAATGTTTTTTAGGAGTTCATTTTCAGTATTAATACTTTGGTGGGGATTTAATACTCTTGGTTAGAAAATCT